TATATATATATATATATATATATATATATATATATATATATATATATATATATATATATACACACACACACAGTATATATAGGTCTTTTTTTGAGTAAATCATTATATTTTGATTGCAGTCAGAAATGCCTTAAAGTAAGAATCACTTATTTTGATGCCGTGAGGAAAGCTGTGTTTAAAACGTCCTTTCATTCAGCCTCTTTGCTTTCCCCAAGTTAGGTTTCCCAGCTTCAGAATCCTGGGATGAGGTGTTTCAGCCTTATTAGAGCACCGCCTCCCAGTCATATTCTGAAGGAGCTCGTCTGTAATGGAGGAGAGGCCTGCCTCAAAGGCCGCAGCTGTGTTTACCGCATTTGCGCTCAACAAAACGTCTTGTCGCATTGATGCGGGAGCGAAGATAACTTCTCCTTTTAGCTCTCCATCCTTCGCAATCACTTCTCCTTGTATGGCACTGTTAGCAGCCTCGCCTGTGTGGTACTTCTGCAGGCTTAAGGCTCAGCAGAGTGAAGTCAGTTAGAGGGTAAATAAAGGCACATTTCCTGTGAATCAGATTTTACAGAAATGTAAATCATGCTAATTATTCAGGCATAAGGGATGTTGTTTTAAAATGCCTGTGGCCTAGCACTGCCAGGAACGACAGATCAAAATACCCCACATGTCAGATAACAGGCAGGGGTAGTGCCCCCTCAGTGGTACCTGGAAATATGTCTCATATTCACCTTTTTAAGAAAACCGATTAAGTCAGTATCTTTCCAGGGTGACAGAAGATTAAAAACTGGGTATCTTCCAATTAATATAAAACTTCTCAATAGTGTTTTGGATAAATTTAGAAGCTTGCAGTCTCCTTTTTGTATATGCATGGTGCCAGAGGAGTCCATATACTGAGGTACTGAGGGGGGAAAAAATCCAGATATTTTTGTAATACAGCTTGTTTTTCATGCAACAGTAATAATCACAGAAAATATGGTTTTCAGGTTGCCATATTTTGGTTCTGAAATATGTTTTTATAAGTTTAATATGTTTCTGTTAAACAACAGCTTTTTAAAAATTCACATTTGTGTTTATGCAAATTCCATAGTACGGTGAAAATACAGAGCTGGAAAGCGATTTAGGCAAAGAAAACCTGTGTGTGTGTGGGTGTGGGTGTGTGCACATCCAGGTTTGTTTGTTTCATGTAAATATAAATTGGGCTTTAAGTGGAATTATTAATATCACACTTGAAGCAGAAACATAAATTGTGAGTCACTGAATTAAATATAAGAGCATTCATTTTTAATGCTGCAGGACTGGGGAAACTTGGAAAATGTTTAAGGTCAGCTAAACCCAACTGAAATAAATATTTGAGCATATAACTTATATACAGTAGTGTTACACCATTTCTGTGTTCTGTAATTTGGTGGTTAAGAATACGTTTATTTAGGTTACATACAGTATTTCCTGGGCATCAAAGTCTGTATGATTCCTCACAAATAACATCCATCTGTCAGCCACTTTTATAATGCAGGGTTGTTGGGATGGGGGATTGAGGAGTGGGGGCGATTCAGGATGGGGGGGCTCCCAGGCTGCAAGGGGTGCAGGTTGGAGGTAGAACCTGGATGGGCTGGCAGCCTAATGTAGGGTATGCAAAATGGGTACTTTACAGGTCTGGATTCACCTATATGCATTGGAATGAGGGAGGGAAGTGGGGGATGCAGGGAAAGGTCATGGGGAGCCTGCAAATTACAGGGAACCCCAACACTGGTAAACCACCACCTACACACCTGCAGTGCAACTATGAATTCCAACCATTCTTATATGATAAAGTGTAAACATGATAATGTCAATTTTGGCAACATGGATGGCCAATCAACAATCAGAAGTTAACGTCATCATGTGGTTGAAAGATGAAGACACGGTGAAGCAAGGGAAAATTAGACTTCATTAATATTAGAATACCCTTATAGAAAAAAAATACTTGGTTTAAATTGTAGTGTAAGACAGGCAAGTAAATTGTGACCTCGCTATCTATAGGTGAAGTTTATGGATGACTGAAATACCATAATTGCTGTCTTAACCATGACAAGACCCTTTAAACCTCCAGGGTGATCAATATGCATAGAGCCCCCCCTCCCACCCCCATTTCTGAGCTTTAGCTGTACAATTATATTTCAGAGGAGATAAAAGGCATTGTGGGCACTCTCACAATCACCGAGAACAAAAGGTGTAGCGTCTGAGTCCTTTTCCCGATGATACAATGAATTACTCATAAAATCAATGAGAAATAAATAAAACTAAAGTTGGGACAAGTTAGCGAGGATTAATGAAATGGTAATGGAACAGTAAAAGAAATTAGATTTTGAACATTCACAATGTTCCATTTTTGGCAGTGTGTAAATGTATAAATATGCTGCAGCCTTATTTCCATTGTCATTCTGGATAATAGCAGTAAATTCGCATATGGTGCAGGTCTAATGAGAACGTACAATGGGAACAGCTTGGAGTGACCTCCTTACGCCGCACTGTGTTTCGGGAGAGAACCCATCCAGTGGATTCAAAGAGCAATTTAAATGTAGATCCATGATTCATTGCTGCTCAGGGGCTGCCTTATGTGTATAAACATAAATGCAAAGGGACACTGACAGATTATTTTACATTCAGTGTAGTGACAAGAAAATCGGAATGAAAAATACAAAATGTACTCCAGCATTTTAGCCAGAGAGAGAACTCTTATTTTGGGTTGCTTTATGTTTTACATGTAGGGCTACACACCCTGAACACATCACATTATTAATTAGGGAAGCTCACCCAGAGAATAATAATAATAATAATAATAAAGACAGAGTACAAGATGATGTCTAAATATAGTTATTAGAGCCAGAAAATGTCTTCTGTAAATACAACGGACAGGTGGAATAAAGGTGTCCTTGTATCCCATGTGTAAAAGTACCTCATGAACCCAAAGTGGCAGCACTGCTGGTCAAGAGCCTTTCAAAACCCAGTAATGTGAACTTATGGCTTAGTTATATAAAACACGGTACACATGAAATAACTATATTTGTCTTATTTATATCACAGCGTCCATGGAGACTCCCTGTGGCATCATGGTTATTTAACAAAAGACGTATTTTGCCGGTTGTTTGGTGGATGCAGTCCAATGTTTCACAGTAGCAGAGTAGTGGGGGCAAATTGGATTAAACACACAGCAAAGTCTTGTTTTTTTTCTTCTGCTTCTTCTTTGGATTAATGCAGTTCTGCGGATGATTTGTTAATTGCTTCAAACACGATAGAACACAAGTGGATTGGTTTTCTCTGGAAAGACAATGGGGTTCTCATATTGCATTTAACCTTTTTTCACCCTCTGAGGCTCACTGAAAGAACTCTATTTCCCCTCCGCTTTGTTTGGGATTCAGCAGCATGAAATTAATTAAAGCAATATCCTCGGTAGCTCCCTCATTTCAGGATATCGCAAAAATGATCTGCTACTAAATTAATGCATTGTAGGCAACCGCAGTGGGATTCACATTAAGCTGCAGCTGGACTCTTCGTATGGATTTTTAATAATACCGGAGTTCCTGCTTTAAACCTCAGTCTGTATTACGTGTTATTGCATAATTACTCCAATTCCAAAAACATACTAACCACTGACTGTTAGTTATGGGGGGAAAAATATTTTGGAGTCAAATAAAGGAAGGCAAGTCTATTCCACGGCCCTCATAGTTAATTGAGCAGAATAGTTGTGCGGAGCGATTAATTACGATGTGCCGAGAAGATGTATGACTCTGACAGGGAGTTGTGGGTAATCATAACCAAGATTTATTCTCCGATTCAGTGCGGGAACCTTCCACCGCCGGTAAATTAATACACTTTTTTAGATTTTGAATTATAGAAGAAAGGAGGAGGGGCTCAGTCAGATAACTACACGGGGAATCAATGTTGTTCTTGTAAATGTAAAACGGCACAAATTAATCTTGCTAATGGCACGGTTGACAGGGCAGTCCAATATTATGATTCCAGTACCCAAAAAGATTGATTATATGGCCTGCTTCTTATTTACTCCCAGGGAAAAAAATTGATTAACCTGCTGTCTTCGAGAGGCCCAAGATCAAGACCGGAAAGCAAGGCCCAGATTTTACAAAAACTGGAAATGAAAATTATATGGAAGCAAAACATCAAATTAGACATTAGTTCGATTAAGTATATTTTACATTTTTAATATTACTTTAACAATAGGATAAGATATACACTCGGTGGGCCCTTTATTGGGTACACCTAATTGTTAAACCACACAGCTTGCTCTTCCAAACAGCCAATCATGCGGCTGCACCTGAAGCTGGGCCACATGACAGCAAATCATATTGGGCCCCAAACCAATCCAGTCATGTTCCACATTTTTAGGGCCCCTGGAACCTTTGAAATCATCCTAACCCCCCCCCCCTCCTTTTATGGTGCTCTGACCTGAATGCATTCAGCATGCAGACAGAGCCCAGAGGTTCCAGAGCTGTTTAATTAAGCGTTAGAATGAGTGATCTAAGTGATTTTCATTGCAGTGTGATTGCTGGTGCCGGACACGGTGGTTCCAGTATGGCAGAAGCAGCCGCCCCCCTGGGATTTCATATAATAATAAGATGGCAGCATGGTACATGTATAATGACAATAAAGATATTCTGTTTTCAGTACTTCAATGTCAAGAGTTTACAGAAAATGGTGCATTGTACAAAAAAAACCTCTGGGGCCAAAAATGTGTTGTTAATGAGAGGTTATATAGGTATAGGTAGACTTGTTAAACCTAACAGGAAGACCATAAGTGTAAAAATAACAGCTCAGTGCACCGGCGGCACACAGAAAGGCTTCTCTGAAGGCATAAGTTGAATTGGTTATGGAAGAAAAGTAAATCCTACCAATTGGCAGCAAGGTGTAGCTATACCTAACCTTGGCTAATGAGTTGGAAGAAGTTGTTTATTTTTTTTTTTTACATTAAAACCTTCATATACATTCAAGATGCTTTGGTTAAGAGATGAGCTAAGGTAGTGCTTGCCTGTCTAGTACAGAGTCACAAAGCTTTACAGTCCTATATCAGTTTAGGCCTTATGAAAATAAACGTGTGAAGGAATGAGTCAGTCATTAGCATGATCTTGCCAACTTTGACGAAAGTCAAGCTGGTGTGCTTGGGATGCAGGCCTGCATCACAATGTCATTAATAAACTCGGATTGGAACAATAAAATGTTTAATTGCTCTACTGAGCTGGCTGGGTTTAATCAGCTGATTTGCACTTCACCATTTATATAAATGAAAGTCAGTCTTTGTTCTTTCATAGATCCATCTTTTCAGTGGAAGTAACGTTGTATTAAGCTCTATTCCCATCTGTTCCACAAAACAATACAAAAATGTCCAAAAAATATTATTTTATTTATATGTAAATAAAAAAGGCACCTTGCTTATCCCATTGTTATTAAATGCTTTTCAGATCATGGGTATTTATTTATAGGAGAAGAGGAATCATTATTGCAAGATGTCAACAGAGATAATTTAACTGCAATTTTTTTCATAATACAATTTGACAAAGGATTACAGCAGTATTCCAACAGTAAATAGCAATGCATATTTCATGGAGATAGAACCACAGTTACAAGTGTAAAGTGTAAACCTACATTTAATGAGAATTTGGAATATTTGCTCAAGAAATTAAAAAATAATGATTACAAAAAACTTCTTTTGAAATACTGACACCACAGGACTAGATTTAAACCATCCGGCAAAGATCACTGGCTGACAGCTCACGTCTGTTTAATGGCAGAAACATTTACAACATTCAGTTTCGGATCCTCTTAGTTTTGTAATTAAATCAAGTGATCATATTTTCTGTAAAGAACATGGGTGGATGGATCACGTTTTCTGTTCAGGAGGTAAAAAATTATACCCTGCCAATATCCCACAAATGGAATTCTGCTTCAGCTCTAAAAGTGAAAACAATTATAATTAAAAAAGCTCTGCGGCATCAGTTTTTAACATTATATTCAATTTGTGTTTGAAGTAAATGCTGAGATATTCTTCTTTCAGCATTATATGGATAAATGAAATGCAGCTGAAGAGTGTATGACTTTGCTGTATAATTTGAGCTGTCAGCATTGCATATAAATGTTTATAACCCACTGCAGAGTTATATACATTATAATGAAATCGAGCTGAATTGTTTTAACCAAATGTGTAGATGAAGCAATACAGGGCAGTGGTTCTGTTTTAAATGTCACATTTAATTATTGTGAATTTACATGGCCGGAATGCAATAAATATAAATTACCTGGCTGCATTTCATTTAAATGTGAAGAGATAGAGATGGTTT